TGAGGGGTATATAAAATACTTTTGACACTGATAGCCTCTGCATTTCTCCCATCTTTTTTTAATGACCTTGAAGCTGCATATAATATTTCGTTAGTAGAGTACATATGTATAATGTTAGAAACTTTTCTGTCCTTTGATCGTATTGAAGATTTGTTAAAAGGTGTTTCTGGTCTTCCACCATAATTTTTTTCAGGAGTAACAGCTTTTATTAGTTTAAAAGAAATAATAGCATCTAGCCAAGTAGCATATTTATTTTCAAATTGAGTATACTCCCTTTTTACAGTTGTCATTTTACGTTTGTATTGATGAACAAATGATGATAATGTTGGCTTTATATCTAAAAATGTGTTTGGTGAAACATTTTCCACATACTCAACCAGTTTACAAAGTAAATCATTTTTATTACAGTCAGTTTCTTTAATATAAATGTATAACTGTCTTCTATTCATCTAAAATTAAAAAGAACATCTATTAATATAAGAATAGATAATATAATAATATATATAATAATGTGTGTATATATATGTATATATATATATATATATATATATATATATATATATATATATATATATATATATATATATATATATATATATATGTATATATATATATACATATATATATATATATATATATATATATATATATATATATATATATATATATATATATATATATATATATATACACATATATATATATACATATATATATATATATATATATATATATATATATATATATATATATATATATATATATATATATATATATATATATATATATATATATATATATATATATATATATATATATATATAGAGAGAGAGAGAGAGAGAGAGAGAGAGAGAGAGAGAGAGAGAGAGAGAGTGAGAGAGGGAAAGAGAGAGAGAGTAGATTAAATGTACAAACAAAATAATGAGCATGTGTTTGTTAAAAACTAGGCAACCTACTGTAATATTTTATGCCCAATATGAACAGATATATACAAAAGGAATATATTGTCTAATAATATTTTTTTATTATTATTATTATTATATTTTCTTTCTTATTATTATGTTCTCTTAAATATTCGCCAATAAATAGTATAGTCCGTCCGGACTATAAAAATTATATTAATGAGATAACAACACGGCCGGTTTATAAAAATTACAATTATTACATATTAAAATCATTGCTCACTCTAGACTGGCAAAAACTGGCAAAATATTTTGCTTGATAATAGTAGTACACATCAAGTACTTATGAAAACAGCTGCAACATATCTTTAATATTGCTTAATACACTACTATTTAAACACCAACAAAGAAAAAAAGAATTTACATAATTTAAAAAACAGCCTGTACAGTTAGGCATAAAAAAATACTGTTATATTTTTTATAATGATATTTTGAGGATAAATTATACATCTATATACAAATTCAAAAAATATAGCATAAAATTTTCCTACCTTTTAAAGCAGGAAGCATGTAAAAATAAACGGCAATATTTAGAAAAAATAATGAATAATTTTCAACATTGCTTGCTGACGGAACTGGAGTAGTTTGCGGCCAAGTATTTCTATTTAATCATAATCTATTATCATAAATAATATTATTTTCGTATATTAGACTTATTTAACCTATATTAAAAAAAAAAAAAAAAAAGTTTTTTTAAACTTTATGTTTTAGGTTTTGCCGACTTCTGACCCACTGTGCGTTGGTTGAAAATGTGCTAATTAAAAAACGTTCAAAAAGTGTTACTTTGCCAATTTAATAAACGCATTTTTTTGAGAAGATAAGATACGTTTAAATTTATACGCTTATTCAACGTTGAAAATGTAACGTTTAAAAAGCGGTTTGTTTTTAACGTTGATAATGCATATACTTCGAAACGTTTTTAAAGTGGCTTTTTGCGTAAGTTGATTCCACGTTGAATAAACGTTTTATTTCGAGAGGCTAAATTACGTTACAATTTCAACGCTTATTCAACGTTTCAATTTACCGCGATTTAGTATACAAAAACAGACATTGATTCAACGTTGAAAGCACGTTGTTTTTGTGACTGTAACGCTTTTTCTACGCTGCGGCTGGTTTTCAACGTTGATTCAACGCTTACATGTTTGCTGGGGAGCTACATGGTTTTCATTAGATAAATCTGCAATCTTTGCTCTTTTACTTCTTTCACAAAGATCTCCCCATTTCTTAACTGGTCTTCCTGATCTAGATTGAGCAGACACTATAATCAATGAGATTTTTTCCTAGCCAATTATTTTCGTACTTTAAAAACTTTTCATAGTTTCTACAATATTTTTTAAGCTTGTTTTTCACTTTCGAAATAAAAATCTGTACAATTCTTTTTATTTCACCAAGTTTATCTTTAGGAATTATTTCGGATTTTTTGATAAATTCGATAAGTATTTCAGGAAGTGAAATACTTATCGAATAACTTATCAAATAACTTATCGTTATTTGCTTCAGATTCGCGAATTTTTAAAAATAGATCCAACTTTTTCATTTTATTTTTAAAGATTAATTTTTTCTTTACCAAATTATATTATGATAAGACTTCTTTAATTTTCAAAATAAAAGGTAAATACTAGGTTGTATATTATTACACAAACGTCTGAAAAAAGGGAGGGGCGGGTGTTGCTTTTGACAAAACTATGCATGAATCAATTTAAAATATCTCCTTAAGAAGCAGGAAGTTGCAGCAAATACTGTAGGGTTTACTTGGCTATAGTTTAGTACTATTTTTTTACTAAAAGTAACGTTGAACAACGTGGAAATTTTTTTTGGCTGGCACTTATGTTTAAACTTATGTACTAAAATTTTAATTTTTAAAAGAAAAATTAAAAAGAACTTGTTTTTTTAATCTAAAAAAAAAAAAAAGTAAATAAATTTTAATATCTAACCACTCATTACTTTAACAAAAATAATAATATAGTTTTGCATGGAGGTGGAAAACAAAGTTGCTTACATGATAACCATACCTTAAATTTTCTTAATTTTATGGTGATAAATTTAACTTTTTACACATATATCCATTTAAAATTACACAATAATAATATCTATAAAATTGATTTCAGACCAAAAAGTAGTTTACTTTAACATTTTAAGTTTAAAAACGATAAAACTTTCACTTTTTTTCCCGGACTTTTTGCCATTTTTAGGTTAATCTGGGTCACTGTGTGTCGGCACGCTAAACGCTCGGCCATATTGCAGCTTACTTAACTTAAGTTTTCAATTATTTAAAATGCAAAAGACTGTATAAAACAAAAATAAATGCTACAGATCAAAATTAAAAAGATGCTATCGCAATGCAAGTAAAACTGTATAACATGATACTACATATTATTACATAACTTGATATTACATACATAATAAAAATACACGAAACATACAATTTCGTTCAGAGATACACCTTCGTTTAAAGATACACTTTCGTTCACATTTTCTTATAAAACAAAACTGTTGCAACTCTCTTTCCCCATTACCTCAATTGCAAAGGCTGCCTAGAGGTCTGTATCAAACAGGCCTGAAAGAGCACTACTACTATTAACTTTAGTATTATTAAACAGATAAAAATAATATTCAAACCTTCTCTATTTTGATTACTCAATTCTAAAATAAAAAAGAAATCTTTACTCTTTTGTCAAAAACAATAGTTATGTTAATTCTGAATTATAATTAAACCTTTAAAAAGAACACAATAAATAAACTTTTAGTGGAAAGAAATGAAACTTACTTATTGCTTGATAAACGGTATATGTAATAGAACATGCATATTTTCAGTCGTTTTAGAGTACAGTTGGCGCTCATACCATAATCCAAGAATCAGATAATTTTAAAATCTTTTTATAAAGCTGTTTTTATTACCGGATTTGGTGGATTTAATTAGATAAACTGCAAAGACATTATTTTAGTTGGCGCACATATCGTAATACAAAAATTCGTTGATTTTTGAATCTTAAAGTTAAGCTGTTTTTATTACTGGGTTTGGCGGATATAAGAAGATGACATAATTTTAACAAATCTAAAATTGGAGTTTCAAATTTTTCACTTGGATGTCAATATGTTTTGTGTTTTTTTCAATTTTGTCAATTTTTTTAATATAATATATTTTAAATATAACATACCTACTAATCACTTAACCTACTTAAACATCAAAACAAAACTGCTTGAGCAAAAAAGACTTGTAATTATTAGAAAAGTTTACTAATGTTCCATACGATCCTGAATAAAACGTTTTATAAGTAGATTTTTTACATTTTATAAACAATATATATAAACAAATAACATATTTTTTTATATAAATTGTTTATATAGGGATAAAAAGCCAAACCTGTCTATTCAACAGTTTGTTTTATTAAAAAATAACTTATATAATGTTTCTTCGTTTATATATTGTTTCTTTGCCAACACCAATACTTAAAATTTTCATGCACTGAGCTGCAACTAATTCTTTTGGTTAAGTGGCTTTTGTTAAGAACTTTTAAATTTTGCGTCCAATTATCTCATTTCAACATATTCGTTGTATCATCCATGCTGCAGCCGTTTTTCAAAATGCCTTAAGGTAAAAAATATCATTTTTGACTTTTTTACAAAATTAGCTTTGTTTTTTTGGTTTTGTCTACAAAAGTTATAGAATACATATTTTCAAAAAGTTCTGAAAAAATTCATTAAAATTATATTTATTGAAAAAACGTTTTACAAAAAGTTAATATATACATTGTTTACGCTTAACCATCTCTATTTAATAACTTTCTTCTTAATTGCGTTTTTCTCGAAATACGTAAAAAGCATATTAAGGCGTTTTGAAAAACAGCTGCAGCACATATTTATTGTAAAAAAATAAATGAAGCTAAAAAACCTATTTATTGTCAAAATAAATTTTAAATTTATTTTATAACAACGGTTTTTTTTTTTTTTTTTTTTTTTTTTTGCAGCACTTTTTAGAGTAGCAGAACTGTTTTAAAAAGTTTTTTTTTCTTATTAAGTTTTAGAAAACTTTTTTTTCAGAGCATCCGCAGCTTATTAGGACTAATTAACTAAGCACATTATTAACATAAGTATCTAAATCATGACGCGCACGCAACAATTTTTTTCTCCCGGGGTTTTAATGTTTTTAAAAATATTATCTTTTTTAAAATCTTTTCGTTCGTTTAAGTGTATAATATCGTTACATATGTTTTTATAAACACTCTATAAAACTTCAAAAATATTTTGTATTTTAAAATAGTCGAATAAATAAAAAATAAAAAAGTTTTCAATTGTAGGACTCGAAGCAGGGCTTCGAGTTCTACTATTGAAAATTTTCTAAAGTACTATTTTCAAATTTTCTAAAGTATGTAATGAAGTTTTTCACGGAAAGATATGTTGTACATCAAAGTTAAAGAGAACTTGACGCAATGCAATTTTTAAGTGAAAATCAAACTGTAAAACTTGACAAATGTTTCAGTATGTTTTAACATTACTTAATTTAAAGTTTACAAACGTTAGAACTTTGTATACACGTTCGTTCACGTTTTCTTAAAAAACAAACTGCTGCAACTCTCGCTTGCCACTACCTCGGTTGCAATGGCTGCATAGGGTTTCGTGTCAAATACGCTCCAAGGAACACTAAAACTATTAAGTTCGGCATTATTATATAGATTAAGTGTAATAATGTAAGTAATGTACTATTAAGTACAAAATTTAAAAAAAAAAAATTATTATAGATTTTGGCAATAGTTTTAAGGGAAAATGTAATATTTCTTTTAGTTGGCACCAAATATAGTATGTATAGCAACCAAAAAAGTATTTTTTATCTCCTTTTTAAAAAACCTAAATATTTTATTTTTTATTTTTTTGTAAAAATAAATTTTTTCAATATTGTTAAAAGCTAAAAAAAAAAATTAATTTTATAAAAATAATTTTTTTTTTTCCATAGTAAGTGCTAAGAGCCAACTTACCTCGTGAAAATTTTACAAACTTACCCCAAAAGATTTTTTTCAAACAGCCTAAAGATCCTGAAAAACGACAACTATTGAAAAAAAAAATTTTTCTTACGACTAACTAATTTCTTTGTAAAGTAAAAAGGAAGCGATGTTCCAGTTTTTGTTTAAAAAACACATCAATCTTAATATCTCCCATGCGCATGCTTGAATTCTAACAATGTTATAGTGAATGATGAAATGATCAATTATGAAAGTTCTGTATAATTTTTTTCACTTTCTGATGAAAGACTCTGAAGATAAACGCAGTTCGTCAAGTTACCCTTGCTCCCAACTTGTCCTGGTCTTCCCTAGTATTAAAATTAATAAATAGATAATGTAACGATAAACAGCATAGTATCAGATAATTTATGTATAAAAAATAAATAAAAAAAATGATGCAGCAACTAAAAAAAAAAATTATTTTAGCAAAAAATAAAAATATAATAGAAGAAAATTAATTTAAAAAATGATAATATAGTACAAGAAAACTAGTTATAATAAAATTTAAATGCCAAAAAATAATAATAAACTATTCATAGCTGCAGAGAAGTGGGGCTTGGGGGGTGGGGCCTATAGCTTTCCTTCCCCCAGTTTTTGTTTTGTTGCGCCTCTGATAATATTTTTATAAACAATTTGAAAACATTTATAAAACCTTTATTTTCTAAATATCTATAACTAATTTCTTCAATTGCAGAACAACTACATAAAAATGTTTTGCAATTAAACAAACAATAAAAATAAAAAACCAAAAAAAAGTTTAAAATAAACTTTAGTAAATAATTGTAGATTTTACGTTACCTTTCGAATAAAAAAACAGAACTCGTTGTATAAAACTTGCTACTTAGTAGTGTTGAACTTCATAAAACTAATAAAAAGTTGTTTTGTTCACTTAAGACGATTTTTTTTTTTTTAAATAAGTTTGCATATTCCTTTTTTATTTAAAGTTTTTTGTTTCATGAATTTAATATTTGAATATAAATATTATTAGATAAATATAATAAAATTTTTAAAAAATCTCCCAAACGTGAATGTCTTTTCAAACAGGTAAAAAAAAATATTCTCCGTGAGACACCCGGTATTCGTATACTCTGCCCTACACGCTGGACTGTTAGAGCAGAATCATTTTATTCCATATCTGAAAACTATTTTGCTCTACAAGTTGCTTGGGAAGAAGCCAAATATGAGACAAAAGAGAGTGACATCGTAGATCAAATAGGAGGAATTGCAGCACAAATGGACAATTTCCCTTTCTTGTTTGGAATTGAATTGGGCAAGACTATTTTATGCGTGGTAGACAAAACAAAAAGTTCGCAAATAGTTACACATTTGGGCTAGTAAAGATCAGAAAGTTGTTGAAAGAACTTTGATTGCATTGAAATTTTTCCGGTCTGAAAATTAATTTGAGTTACTCTAGAACCGTTTTCAAATAAAAAGAAAATTACTTTAACAAGAAAAACCTGCTTTGCCGCGCTATTGCAAAGTACCTCGTTGTTTTGAAATAGGAACATCTGCATCAGTATTATCTAAAAAATTCTAGGTGTAACTTTTTTATGAAAATATATTTCAATGCTTAGAAATGACAATTGGCAGTATTCAATCTAGATTTGAACAAGAAGGATTTCAATGCTTCAAATCAGTACTTATAAATGTTTCATCTGAAGGTAGTTCAATAAATAAAGAAGGTCTCGCTTTCTATGCTACAGATTTGAATGCTTTGATTACAAGTTATACACGAATCCACAACTGAACCATTAAACAAAAAGCCAATCTACAAAAAAAGACACTTTACAAAAAAAACACTCCACATATATTCATAATTTAGTAAGGTAAGCTATGAATGAATTTCCTATAAACTTTATTACTATTTATTTAATAATTACGACTGCAGTGTATCTCAAATTGCCTAACGTATGCACTACAATGCGTATTTGTATGGTAATACATAACTTTTTGTGTTTTACAGAAAAGCAATTGAAGTTGAAAAGGAATTATTATCAGAAATCAGGAAGTTGATAAAACATATCCTTCTGATACCAGCATCAAACGCTACTAGCGAGAGAGCTTTCAGCACACTATGAAGAATCAAAACTTGGTTAAAAAACATCATAAGCACTGTTATACTGGTGCATGCTACTAAACATACACACAGAAAAAATCTTAAAATCTTGAAACTGTTAGAATCATTTATAAAAGCCTTATACTTCAAAAAACTTCAAAAAGTTTGTAAAAATACGTACGCGTTCGAAAATATTATATTTTAAGGCCGAATTTTACTTCATATCATTAAAAACATTTTTAAGTAATAAATTACCTCAAAAACCTACAAGAAATCACATTTTATGAAAAATTAGTACAATACATACAGTATAGGAATTACTACAGAACTCTGATCAGTTTTTTTGTTAAGAGACACTTTATTTGCGTCCTTACGCTTCTAGCCGCCCCCCCCCTAGATTAAATAAGTTGTCTGCGGCCTATTTAATGTAATGCTGTTACAAATCAAATCTTATCTTTTATAATATTCTTCCTTATTTTATTTTATTATTATTATTTCTTTTTTATATGCTTACTTTTTTCTTTCTTTTATTTATTTTTTCTTCTTTTATTGTTTAACGTAAGAGTTCTCTTTTTTTTAGTTCGAAATTCTGTTAACCTTTTTGTTACTAATTTTTTCCTTTGATTTATTTGTTTGTTGTAAATTAATTTTAAAACTTTTTTACTTGATAGTTTGCATAACGTTTCAACATAAAATGATTGATGACATCTTGCATCATGATTGATGATATCTTGCATGAGAGTATATTATATAGGGGAGAGTTGCCGAAATTGTAACAGCGCCTTAATTGGAACACTTGCATTTATTTTTGATAAAAAAATCAATTATGGCTATACTTTGCATTTTTTTAGTAAAACGCATTATTTTCTACGTTTTGACACATTTTGAAATTTGTTCTTTCAAAAATGCATTTGCAACATTGATTTAAAGTTTTTTTCCATCATTTTTTTTCAGTGATCTAATTCTGCGTATATTAATTGCGCTGGGTAAACTATGATGCTATAGGTGATACGGTTTTTTCTGTTTAATTTGATGGGATTTAAAATGCGAAATAACAATATAAACTTATAAGTTGCTGCAAGCGTGTTGTTACAGTGATATAACAAAATACTCCAAAGTTTCCTCGATTGGAACATTAAAGTTTTCCTTACCTAATCAGTAATAAAATCAAAGGGTTATAAAAATAGTTTGAGTGTAAATACAAAATACTTATTAACAACCATAAACCTTAAAAATAATACTTCATTTAGTGATTTTTAATCAATAAATTAAGAGAACGTCATAACAGTTGAATCTTTTATACAATTTTTTGTTTGTAGACTTTAAGTTTTTGTTTGTAGACTTTAAGTTTTTGTTTGTAGACTTTAAGTTTATCAGAGTAATACTAATCCTATAATAAGTTTTGAATTAATTGTTTAAATTTTCACTGTAAAGATAAAAATCATTTTTAACCAACTTTTGTTGATTTTACTGTTTTTTTTTTTTTTAAATAACTTGTTCTGATTAAGGAATCAAAGTGTTCCATTTTAAGGAACCAGTTGCTTTAATTCGAACAAAATGGTATCTTTGCAAAAACAAATTTATTTCCAACAACAGTGCCATCAATTTAGCCAAATTGTGGCTAAAAGTATAGTAGGGATGTCTGTTTGTATTAATCAAATCATAAATGTTTTCATAGTTAAGCCATCTTTGGTTAATAAATGTTAATTCCTAAATTATTCCAAATTAATCAACTCTACCCTATCTTTTTAAAAGATCAAAAAATTCAGTTTTTCTCAGTAATAATAGTTTTATTATTTAAAAAATTTTTGCCGATTTATAGTTACCAGCATCATCAGCTCATTTAATATTACAATTGTTATATTTCTCAATATACTTCCCATACAATTGGAGTCAGTGGTGTAGCTACCTAGGGGCTACGTGGGGCAGTGCCCCGGGGCCCTCAAGCTAAGGGGACCTTCGAATCCTTACCAGAAATCTGTGTAAAAAAATTTCGTCAATCGCTTTAAAATGACGTTTTTTAATATATTTTAATATAAATATAAGGAAATAAGATGGTCCAAACTCGACTCCGAACCTTATCGCTAAGAGCAACTGAAAACAAAACCGCATCAAGCCTGGATTTAAACAAAGTCATTGATACTTTTGCGAAAACTAAAGCTAGGAAAAAATTGTAAATATGATCGTTATATAGTCAGTTGGTAGGCCCGACCTTTATATAATAAACCCTTAAATCTTTTCTATTTCGTTTTATTAGCCAAACCTACACCAAATATTAATTGTAATTTATGTTATTTTTGTTTAATATTTTTATTACCTGCCCTGCAGTGAGAGCTTAAGTAGCTTAGCATTTTTAAAGTATTTGTATATTTCATATTTTTATTTGATAAAACCTAATCAGTTTACATAGCAGTGTGGCCCCATTTTTTAATTTGCCCCAGGACCCTTGGTTATCTAGCTACGCCACTGATTAGAGTGTTCTTTACCTTGTTTTCTACTAATTGCTTTTGTACTAACCACAACCCATCGACCATCTTATCTAAATTTCGAGGTTTATGAGTGTGTATTTACTTATTGTATTTATAAGACATTTAACTGCCATAAAAAAATGGTAAGTTACTTTTTATTATTAATTACTATTTTTTATGTGTTTTATACATAGATATTGTTTATTTAACATACACGCATACTTGCATCTGTATACGTATGTCTATTCTAGTTTATGACATTTATACGTCTAGGTATTGATATGTTTATTTATAGCCACACCACGCGTACCCTCACCAATTTCACGAGATCTCTAAGAATGTTGGAGTTGTATTGACTAGCATGACGTAGAGTGCAGGCGATGCAATCTGTTTCAAGGACACGCCCTTGAAGAGTGGCGTTTATGCAGGTCTCGAGCTCTCCAAAACGTCATTGGTGATCGCAGTTCATTTCGTAGGAGAAGGATCACCATTTATTCACTACATCAATTTGGTTATAATGGCAATAAAATTTTTTCTTCTTCTTACACCCATGATATTTAGTGCTTTGTTAGATTTATATTATATATTTTTAATATTAACTATATGCACATATCTTGCTGTTACACAGGTAGTAATCAGTTTTTAATTTATTTTTGTTGTGTTAAGATTATGTGTTATGCGACATTTATAAACTACATTTTTTTACATATACGTATTGACACTGTAGGTTAGTGGATTAATGTGCTGTGTTAGGAACGGAAGGCTCTGAGTTTGAACCATGAAGGAGTCGTATATTCTATTTTTATTATATTCGAACCAAATATTATTATTTATCTTACTATTTTATTTATTATTTAACTCAACTGTTTTATGTTGTACGATATTTTAAGTCACGCGAGTCATTATTACACCAGCGGATTTATAAAGACTTGCTAACTCATACGTTGTGTTATATCATTTGCTAAGGATAGCTAGAGGGCATATGTTATGGCTCCCCTCTCACCTATTGATGAAATTTTATTCCTGCTACTAAATAGTCTTTACATTTATTATGGTGATTTTTACCCAATAACATTATCTACAACCTGAATCTATTATCACATCTCAAGGTCTAACTGGACGGTTCTGTTCGTCACTTTTTACAATCATCGTGTCCCATAAACAGTTATAATTTGTTGCTGGTGACCCTTGTCTTCTTCCAATAAACACCACAAAGACAAAACAAACATTAGGATTTCCCGCTGGATGTGGTTAAGGCGCTCAGAAACCTAGTGACTACGCTGACATTTACGCAAACGTTCATTCGGAAGCTCCACAACGCACGTCAGACCAGGGCTTGCTGACTATGTGCTCGGCTCTAAAATCTCACTTCACAGCACATAATTTCACACCAGTATGGAGTCCTAGCTCTTTTGGCTAGGAGTGAAGGCTTGTTGCTTACGGTGACTAATGTGTCCGCTCGATCAATTGAAATCTATTTCTAAAGTCTTACGTCTGGCTCTGATGTACAAGCCCAGAAGCCCATACTAATGCACTACACACCATCACACTTGTAAACATAAACAGTCTCTAATATCAGCAAATCACAAATTTGTTCTTTGATGCGTAATATCTACACTAAGAGTGACTAGAGCGTTAGTTGTATCTATCCTGCCTCTGAACTATGTTCTTAAACTCTACAAAAATCTCACTACTTATTCTATATTTTCTAATTATTATTTTTTTATTCAACGACACCATATACAATCTGTTTGTATTATTACATCTCCCGGGTCTCCCTTAATGGACAGCTCTGTTGGTCTGCTATATACGATCATTGTGTAGCATTAACAATTATGAGTATTATTACAAATTTGTGCTTTATAATATTTTTTATTCTTTTAAAAAATAATTATTTAACAATTAGGTTATATGTAAATAATGTAATGTAAATAAACTTATATATATGATATATATATATATATATATATATATATATATATATATATATATATATATATATATATATATATATAAATATATATATATATATATATATATATATATATATATATATATATATATATATATATATATATATATATATATATATATATATATATATATATATATATAATAATAAATATAAACTAATAAAATTACAATATAAAATAAAATTCTTTTTTATTTGTATCTACATATGTATTTTTTGCATATATTACATTGAGATGTAACGAAAATGTAACGATAGCCGTAGCCGTATATTTACATTTTATGATAAATAATTTTGTTAAGTTTTTGTATTTATATATATATATATATATATATATATATATATATATATATATATATATATATATATATATATATATATATATATATATATATATATATATATATATATATATATATATATACATACATATATATATATATATATATATATATATATATATATATATATATATATATATATATATATATATATATATATATATATATATATTAATTGATAGATTGTCAATATTCCAGTCAATATATCAGTTAATGTATATATATATATATATATATATATATATATATATATATATATATATATATATATATATATATATATATATATATAAATTGATAGATTGCCTGCAAAACTAAAACCCTCAGTCAATATAGCGACATTCCTTGCATGTTCTACCTATTTAATTAAGTTGATGTATGGCACTCCTTGCATTTTCTCCCTATTCAAGTCAGTCGATATATGTACACTACCTGCATGTTCTACCTATTTAAGTCAGTGGATGGATGTACACTCCACAGTACTAAGCCTTAAAAAAAATTCATTTAAAAACATTAAATAATAAAAACAGCAAAAAAAAATCAATAAAAAAAATATTCCGAGTTTCAAAAAAACAGACAACATTTTAGTATTTTAAGTGGCATTTTTGTGTATTTTAAAAAAATGATAAAATTTAGTTTGTGTCCTCAATTAATAAAATTATAAATAAACTTAAAACATAAAATAATAGTTATTAAAATTAAAGAAAATAATAATATTGTAATAATTTTTGTGATTTATATTTTTTTTACACATATTTATTTATATTTTTTTCAATGAAAAAGAAGAGTATGGAATGTTTGAAGACGAAAATAATATTTAGGATTACTATTATTCTTTGTTTATTGATATTAACTTACTATGCTTATGAAATAACTTTCAAAATTGAAAAAATAAAATCGAAAAAACTAAGTGATTTTTTTATCCAGAACTTTACACATAAGCTCAATTTGGATATTTATAATGACAACCAAAATATATCAAAAACAAATGTTTCGACTAATTTGGATATTTATAATGACAACCGAAATATATCAAAAATAAATTTTTCGTCTAATTTGGATATTTATAATGACAGCCGAAATATATCAAAAACAAATGTTTTATCTTACTCATTATTTGGAAATAACTGGGAAAGATATGGGAAAAATGTTGAAAATGTTGCAAAAGAAGCAGCAAACAATAGCTTATATAAAAATTGGACAATTCGAGTTTATCATGACAAATACTCCATATCATTAGATAATGTTATGAACTTAACTGAGCGTTATCAAAATTTAGAATTTATTAATGTAAGTAACTTTGTCGATCTAGAGAGTATTAATGGAATGGTGTGGAGGTTTTTAATAGTAGCAGATTTAACTGTGGATACTGCGTGCATAAGAGACTTGGATTCAAAAATTTTAGAAAGAGAATCAGATGCTGTAAGAATTTGGCTGAAATCAGGTAAGCTGGTTTATGCCATGAAAGATCATCCTCAACATGATATACCAATTTTGGGCGGTATGTGGTGCTATAGGAATGAACTTAACCGAGAGCTAGGAATCAAAATAGCTAAAATTTGCATTGAAAATAGCATGCATCGTAATCCAATCAAGCAGGTAGAAGCAAACAAAGGAGATGATCAGAATATTCTAACTCGGCATATTTTGCCGCTCATTCACGAGAATCTATTTATACACGATTCATATTTGTGTCATAGTGACAAAATAAGTGAATCTTTTCCCACAAAAAGAGACGTAAGTGGAGAGTTTGTTGGACAAATAAGGGGCACACCTGGAATATTTGTAAAGTGTCCAATTGCATGTCGTCCAAAAGAACATCAAGATTGGGAGTACTGTTAACAGTAAAATTAACTTTATAAATACCATAAAACAAAAACAGTAATTTTGAATAATGTTAAGTAAGAAAAAACAACTCGATGTCTATCTCAGTTTCAATAAACATGTTATAATATTAATAAAATATATCATTATTTTTGAGTTTATTTTGTTACATGGTTATTTTTAATTTTTTACAACATCATTTATTAATATGGATAACTTTCATTTTATATGAAAGAAGTACCCTTTTTTTATATAGGATTCAATGTTTCAAGAATTTTTTTACCGTTAATAAAATATGTCTGCCGTTTGCAAAGATCTACCAGTTTTATTGATCACATTCTTTCTTGCTAACAACAAATCTTAAATGCATATACAACTTATATATTGTTTACATAACTTACATACAACTCGACTAGAATATAGTTACATGTACGAATACAACATTTAATTATATATAAAATATATTTACATGATGTACATGTATATGTACATGATTATTTACATAAACAAAATTTTGAAAAAATATTAAAAGTAAAGATAATTTAAAAAGTCGATAATAAAATTTATGCTTAATATTCATTGTAACTAAATACAATAACGATAAAAAATACACTATGAGTCAATAGGTTGGGTTCATTAAATTTACTTGTGTTCATTAGATAATATCTGCATAAATTTCTCAAAAAATTTGTATTTTTTAACCATTTTCCAATATTTCTTCTACTTAAAAATATCAACAACAAAAAAGAAAACAAAACAATGATTATAATAAAAAGGTGAATAAATGAAAAAACTATTGCAAAGTTCCTAAGCAACTTCTCAATGGAAAACTGGGATCAGGTTGTTAAATGCAAAGATACTAATACAGATTATGATATTTATAAGCACACTTTTACAAGTTTTTATAAAAAAGCGTTTCTGAATCTTGAATAGTTAACTAAACTCAAAGACTTAAAAAGTCCTTGGATGACAAAAGGGCTTATTAAATCTTCAAAAAAAAAAAAAAAACTTTATGAAAAATTTTTGAAAAAAAAAAGACATAAAAACGAAAAAATCTATAAGCAATACAAAAATCTACTTGAAAAACAAAAAAAACTTTAAAAAAAAACCATTATTGCAATTTATTAGAAAATTATTGCGGCAACACCAAATAACATGGGGCGTAATAAAAGATGTAACAGGGGAAAAAAAAGATGCCACCAGAGTGTTGCCGCAATACATAAAAAAGATGAGAATGATAAGTAATGTAATTATGATGCAACATCTACTGCCCAATAAGGCAATAGATATCGTAGAGAAATTTAATAACTATTTTATAAAAACTGGGGAAAAGCTAGCTAATAAAATAACTCCTGGAAAAAAATGTTATAAATCGTATCTAGGAAAAAAAGCCTCAGTCATAAACGAGCTTGAAATAATTACGGATGACCTTAGCAATGCATTTAATAACTGACAACAAAAACAAAAGTCCATGATTAGATAACATTATCGTGAACGTTGTAAAAAATGTCTACGATTTTATTCAATAATCCCATCTGCATATCTGTAACTTGTCTTTTAAAAATGGGGTATTCCCTGACCGGTTAAAGTTAGCAAAAGTAGTTCTTATATTTAAAAGCGGAGAGGATTCTATTACTTTTAACTACAGGCCTATTTCTATTTTGCCAAGCATTTCAAAAATATTAGAGCACATAATGCACAATAGGCTTACCAATAATCTGGTAAACCACCACCTGCTAAATAATAACCAATATGGTTTTCAAAAACAACATTCAACAGAACACGCTGTAGCAAAACTTGTCAACAAAATTTTAAATGGATTTGACAAAAATAAATACACTCTTGGGGTATTTCTCGATCTTTCAAAAACGTTTGACATAGTTGATCACGAGATTCTTCTTTATAAAGTGTGTAATTATGGAATAAGAAATAACAATTTAAAATGGCTTCGCAATTACCGTAATAACCGGAAACAAGCTTTATCATATAACAACACTGTTACACGACTTGAAAACATTACTTGTGAGGTCCCAAAAGAATCAATTCTTGGTCCATTGTTATTCCTTGTTAATATTAACGATATCTGCTTATCTTCTAACATACTTAACTTTGTCCTTTTTGTCGATGATACGCAAGTGTTCTTTAGCCACACAAACATTAGCCTATGATTTAACACTGTTAATCAAGAACTTGAGAACCTGAACAAATGGTTTAAGGCTAACAAACTCTCTCTAAATGTCAAAAAAAGT